CGGTGAGATTTGAACCGCTGAACTGCTGATCTAGCAGTCAGCTGAAGTAGCCTGCAGTGCTGCATTTAACCACTGCGCCACCTCGGTTAGGTTAGGTTACTACCTACTTGGCCGAATCAGGCGGAACCAGGCCGAACCGGTAGGAACCCACCTCTGGTTCCATCTAATTTGGTGTTGGTGTCATGGGAATGGGCTGGGGTGTGTGGCATGGCGAGGAGTTGATGTGATCTGCTTCCCATCTGCCTGGCGATAGACTGAGGTGACATTCTCTGTCTGTCTTCTTGTTAAGAGTTTTGGAATTTCCTTAGCAAACATTCAGGATCTTGCTGAAAGATGCTGATGTTGATTTTCCTCCTTTCTGTTGCTCCATTTTTCTCCCGCCTCCCAGGGTACACAAATTTCCTGACCCTGAAAGAGCCCCATGGGTGGAATTCTATTCATTAACTTGGAATTTAATTGAAGCATAAGAGCTGAGGAAGCTATAGATTTGCTAGAGAAATGATCCTACTACGAGGAGACAGGATACGTTCCTACACTCCTGGGTATCTTGTCACTAATGAAGTGCTAGAATCTTTCACTTCTATCCGTGGAAATATCCCAGGCATTTCTTCTCTGAGAAATTGAACAAACAAACCTGAAATAATTTCTTTTCCATGAAATGGAGGGGAATGGTTGGAAAAAAACACAGGTGAAAATTACAGCATGGGACTCCTGTATAATAACATGAAGCCTGTTCGTAAAACTCTAACTAGAGATAGTTGAACCATACGTGTCCAATGTTGTATCTCTCTACACTAAGAGTAATCTTGGGAATTGCAGAAGCAATCAAGGAAGAAAAATAGGGGGGGGGGGAATGTAGCTGATGAGGTTTCATCGTTCAGTTAGTTTGGGGTAGTGGTTAAGGTGCTGGCCTGGAAACCGGGAGGCTGGGAGTTCTAGTCCTGCCTTAAGCATGAAAGCCAGCTGGGTGACTTTGGGCCAATCACCTGGATACTGTGACTTCTAGACTTCTAGTCCCACTTTAAGAATGAAAGCCAGCTGGGTGACTTTGGGCCANTGAAAGCCAGTTGGGTAACTTTGGGCCAATCACCAGGAGATGGTGAGTTCCACTCCTGTCTTAGGCATGAAAGGCAGCTGGGTGACTTTGGGTCCATCACCAGGAGACTGGGAGTTCTAGTTCCACTTTAAGCATGAAAGGCAGCTGGGTGACTTTGGGCCAATCACCGGGTGATGGTGAGTTCTAGCCCCGCCTTAGCCATGAAAGGCAGCTAGGTGACTTTGGGCTAATCATCAGGAGATGGTGAGTTCTAGTCCCTCCTTAGGCATGAAAGGCAGCTGGGTGACTGGGCCAATCACCAAGAGGCGGTGAGTTCTAGTCCCTCCTTAGGCACGCAAAGGGCTGCATGCGACTGAGAAGCTGAAGAGGAGATGACTTCTCTTTTAACTGCCCCATCTGATCTTTCATCGTCTAGCCCTGTGATGGCGAACCTGTGGCACAGGTGGCACGCGGAGCCATTTGTTAGGGCACACGAGGCGTTGCCCTCTCAGCTCCAGAGTGCAGGCACATGCACGCCAGCTGATTTCGGCTTCCCTGAAGCGTCCGGAGGGCGAAAAATGGGTAAACTGTGCTATCGTGCGACAAAAGCATGTGTAGGTGGTTGCGCACATGCGCCGGGGGAAGGGACATATAATTTTGGATGGGGGCATGTACATGCACGACACTCCCACCACGTTCCCCCACACTTTTGGCACGAGATGGCAAAAAGGTGAGCCATCACTGATCTAGCCCTTCAATCGGCCACATTTTTCTGCCTCCAATCTTCCCCAAACATACTACAAGTTTCTTCCACCATAAAACTCGGTTTGCGAATTTGTATGCACCGGAAATTCATTTTTCCTTTCAAAAAAGAAAAAGAAACTGTCCTTTAAAACAACCCTCCCCGCCCCAAAAAAAGAAACCTTCTTTACTCATTTATCGTTACACCTTTTACAACTTGGTGTCAGTTGACACTTATTAACCTTCCTGTCAAGCTCATTAGCTCCATGAATAAAATGAAATAAAATGCAAACATATCTACAGTTTCGGTTCTCACAGAAATACTTCCCAACTCTCTGTCACAAGGCAAGAGAATGTGGAAAGGGGAGGAACAGGCGTGTCTGCCAGGAATGGTCAAAAAAGTCAAGATGGCGGCCATAACAATCTGATTGAAGTTCCTCCCATGGGCTTTGGCTACACCCTTAAATGGTTGTAAGTCGAGGACTGCATGTAACTACTGGGAAGAAATAACTGTTGGAATTCATTGTTGGAATGTATTTTTGTGCCACAACTACAGTGGTATTCAGCCAGTAGATGGCAGTATTTACAAGTTTGGCTCTATGGTATATACTCTATGTTCTTTTTGTCTAGAGTAGAGTTTCCTGTTTCCTGTTACAGTTTTAAAAAAAACAGTTAAGCAGTAAAGTACATGGTGACTGTACACTTTGTTTGATCTTTTGCAGGGTTGGTTGCTACTGGCATTACTGCCGGTTCGGCATGCAAATAATTTTACACGCAGAATATAAGAAAAGGGGGAAAATATTACATTTCTGCAATGGAGATTGTTCTGCACATGCGCAGAAGCAAAAACAAAGATGGTGCTGCCGACAATAGAACCGTTTTGGGTGCGTGGGCGGCCATGTCACTACCTACTCAGCCAAGCCGGTCTGAACCGGTAGGAACCCATCACTGGATCTGTGGTGCTATATACAAAATCAGAATTTCTAACAGTTACATGTAGTCCTCGACTTACAACTATTTATTTATTGACCGTTCGAAGTTACAATGGCATTAAAAAAAGAAAATTAACACCTGTTTTTCACACCTACGACCGTCGCAGCATCCCCATGGTCCGACGCTTGGCAAATGGGCTCATATTTATGATATTTGCAACGTTCCCGGAGTCACGTAATGCCCTTCTGTCCAGCAAAGTCAATGGGGAAGCAAGATTCACTTAACAACCAGGTCACTGAGTGATTCACTTAACAACTGTGGGAAGAAAGGCCATAAGATGGGACAAAATTCACTTAGCTGTCTTGCTTTAGCAATGGAAATTTGGGGCTCCATTGTGGTCACAATTCGAGGACTACCTGAAATCTGTACTTTTCATCTACCAAGGAGGACTATTCAGTCTCTTTTTTAAAAAAAAAATATTAACCTTTTGCCAAAACTCACAGAGGAAGGTGGGAGGGAAAAAATCCTGATGGAACAAGGGCCCACTGACAGTTCCGAGGATGACAATTTACTGTCGCCGCTGATTGTCATAAAACAGAATATCCGGATAAAATTAGATTTACTAGGGGGAAGTGAAGCTCATTCAAGCCTCGGGCATAATTTGACTCGTAAAATTAACGGCCAAAACAATATCGTGGGGATGGTGCCTGGTTGGGTCGAGTCCATATATCATTTGACAGTTTTAGCTCAAGCCCTGGAAGGCGGGGACGGATTCCCTTCACCGCTTGGTGGGGGAAAGTGGCAGGGTGGGATAGAATGATCCAAAGTGGAAGGTGGAAACATCATTATCTGGGGGCCTTTTGGAAGCAGGGAGGGTGGAGTTAAAATTGCACAT